AACTTACGGCTAATTTGGCCACATGAGGGTATATTGCAAGACACTGCACACACAAAAAAAATTACTATATTTACAAATGAACTAAATCACAAAAATCAATTGACCCCCTTTGTCCCCAGGAAACTTCTTCGCACCACCCAGGTGGTCGAAAAGCACTAACACAGAAGATGATGAAGTTGAATTCAAGAGGATCGACTTTAATGCCCACGGCCTATCCCATACATCTCAGTCTCTCTCTGCAACACGGACAGCCGCCTGCTGATAGAGGGTGGGTGGGGGAGGGAGGGCTCATACAGCACACACTCCGCAGCTTTAGCAACAATCCCCCAGGAATAACACACTGCACTTGTGAACTGAACAAGCATAAAGCTAATGATACGTTCGCTAAGATTTCCCCCACCCCCAAGAGTTGCTGTACTGATTTGAGAATCAACATCATTGCACACACATAGATGCTTCATCTCCTACAGCAAATGTCTAAAGGTCTGGATGCTAACTCAGTACACACATAAATGCTTCATCTCCTACAGCAAATGTCTAAAGGTCTGGATGCTAACTCAGTACACACATAGATGCTTCATCTCCTACAACAAATGTTTAAGGTGTAGATGCTAACTTATTACACATAGATGCTTCATCTCATACAGCAAATGTTTAAGGTGTAGATGCTAACTTATTACACATAGATGCTTTATCTCCTACAGCAAATGTTTAAGGTGTAGATGCTAACTCAGTACACACATAGATGCTTCATCTCCTACAGCAAATGTTTAAGGTGTAGATGCTAACTCAGTACACACATAGATGCTTCATCTCCTACAGCAAATGTTTAAAGTGTAGATGCTAACTTATTACACATAGATGCTTCATCTCATACAGCAAATGTCTAAAAGGTGTAGACGCTAACTTGGCACACTGATTATACATGCACTGTGGAGTATAACAAGTAACTTTCCAGTTATGTTATCACGGTTGACTTCATTTCACTTTGTGTATTCACATATGCACTAATACCTCCCATGCAGCAGCCACTCCGAGGTACCTCTACTGACTATTCACTTAGGAAGTTGGTTATACTGTCTCCTACCTTGAGTTCAAAGATAACACAGATAGGATTTACTCCCAGGTCATGTAAATGGGTTAGCATCTGACACTCGTCATCATCCACCACCAGTCTAATCTGTAGTGTTGATGAGACCAGCTCTGTCCATACTCAACTATTCCCCTATCCATACTTTATTCCCCAGTCAATACTTAACTATTCCCCTGTCCATACTTAACTATTCCCCTGTCCATACTTAACTATTCCTCTGTCCATACTTAACTATTCCTCTGTCCATACTTAACTATTCCCCCATCCAAAATTTAAGCACCACAAATTGCATAGGAAACTATGGGGTAATGAAATAAGTCATCAGACGACCGTATTTACGTGTCTATAGGCCGCACCCAGTTTCTGAGACAATCATTGTAGGGAACACCATTTTTCTTAGAATTTCATCGAGACAGCAAAATGGAAACAGTAGTAGTTGTAAGCAGTGAAAGATGGACCTGTAAGCTAGTCATAGTTTCCAAGACATTTAGCAAACAAAAGTGAACTAGAGAACAAGATGCATACACATGTCGTAATTGTAACCGACTCTGAAGGAATGCTGCGAGCAGAGTGGCAAGCTTCACTAGAAAGGTCACAGGTAGTGAGCATACTTTAGATCTTTTCTCCCGGCTATGCGGGCGTGGTGGGTAATAAACAGGCAGACAGATTGGCTGGATCTGCACCACTGGGTGGTGAACTCATACATGACAAGGCAGACATGGTCAAGACCCTTTGGGAACAAGCAACGCAATCAGTAGAGAAACAAGATTATTTTAGCCTGGAGAGAATGAGGCACCTGGGTGTAACCAGAAGGTCTGGCCGGCTCACTACACTCAGAGGAAAGGCAAGACGAACATATAACCAGATTGTGACTGGAACTATCAGTACTGGAACTCTGCGCTGGCTGCTGAAGATGAGGAAGGAGCACACATGGGAATGCCCCGAGTGCTGTGATGTCAATTCTCAACTCAACTTTTAAAAAAAAAGTGAATGCAGACGCTAAGGCAAGAGAAATGCGATATGGTTGTGATACCAGATGGGTGAATGGCATGTTACAACCACCCAACATTTCCATTAATAGGCTTTTTAAGGCACATTTGCAGCGTTTATATTGCGACTGTAGATGCAGTTCGACGGAATTGGCTCCGACCAGGAGTTTAAAGAAAGCCTCTCAGTCTCATTTCCACGGGAGGATCAGCGTTGCATGAAAGTAACATATAGTCCGCACCCCATTTTCCATCAATGATTTTCGCTTAATATACTGTGGCCTATAAACATGTAAAATACGGCAGCTTATAGGCACAGGAAAAGCAATGGACCAGGCCGATGTTTCAATGCTCTCAAGAAGGCAGGAGTAGTTAAGTTGAGTTGAGTTGAGTCAAGAATTGACATCACAGCACTCGGGGCATTCCCATGAATGCTCCATCCTCATCCTCAGCAGCCAGCACAGAGTTTCAACACTAATGGTACTAGTCATAATCGGGTTGTATGTCCGTCTTGCCTTTCCTCTGAGTGTAGAGAGCTGGCCACACCCCCTTGGTTACACCCAGGTGCCTCAGTCTCTCCAGAGGACGAGTAGATGATTCAGAAGACAGCAGTGAACTGGCAATCTTGACAAGACTACAAAAAACTTCATGTCAAAATAGATGTTGCAAGACAGGAATGTTATTCAGGTAACAAAACAGAATAGTAACCCCCATATAGAAATGGTGTTATCAGTCGCTGAGTAGGCAGCCTTTGTGTAGTGGTTAGAAGCTTGCCTGCAGATCGGACAGTGACGGGATCAAGTAATTCACTAATTAGTTAGTTAGTTAGTTAGTCTTTCCTCTTGTGTCGTGTGCGGCACATAGTGCAGAGGTCGTGACTCTCCATGCACGGCGGTCCGTTGCAATCCGTTGTAGGTCTTGGATGTTTGAGTGGCCCATGAGTGAGCCTTCCCTGATGATAGTTCTACATAGGGTTTCCCTTGGTCTTCCATGAGATCTTTTCCCCTGTGGTGTCCAAATGAGGGCTTGGTAAGGAAGTCTTGATTTATCCATTCTAAGGACGTGGCCGACATAGTTCCAGCGGCGTTTTCGTATAAAATTAGACACATACTCTTGCCTGGATTCTTGCCTTATTTGTGTATTGGTTCGGAAATCTGACCATTTGAAATTTAGTATTCTTCTAAGGCATTAACTTCTAACCGACTTCTAACTAATTAAACTGCATATTTTCCCCAAAAGTCAACAACAACAACAACAACAACAACAACAACAACAACAACAAAACCAGCAATACAAATGCAAGGCAAACAGCAAATTGCAAAGCTTATCTAGAAAACTTATCAAAAAGACCAAAGACAGCACACGGCTAGGCTCAGCTGGTCCAGTTGCTTGCACTCCCACACACCTGTCCAGACATCTGGAGAGAAGAGGATAAAGCACTTGCTGTTTTCTGGGTAGTAATGACTCAATGCTGCGATCGTCTGTTAATCAATTCCAACAAAACTGCCTGCCTGTCAATAATTAAATAATGATTGTCTGTTTATTAACTCTTTGAGTCCCAAGGAACACATCATACTTTCATAGGTTCATACCTACATATGTAAAAGTGAAAAAGTAAAGATCCTGTTTCACGCCTTAGGCGCATCGGGCATATGGGAAGAGCACCACATATTTTACAGACCAATCGGCACTAGTTGGGTCATGTGGTCAGCATCACGCCTTACCTACATATCAGGCAACGATTTTATGTCTCTTTTTAGTACCCCTTGGACCAGTGATGCTAAACCCACTGGGAGTCAAAGAGTTAATAATTAAATAATGACTGTCTGTTCGTTAACTCTTTGAGTCCCAAGGAACACATCATGCGTCTATAGGTTCTTACCTACACATGAGGTGCCAATTTCATGTCTCTTTTTTACCCCTTGGGCCTGTGATGCTAAACCTACCGGGAGTCAAAGGGTTAATAATTAAATAATGATTGTATGGCCTTAATAATAATGATAACAGTAAAAAAAATTATGTGATTTCTCAACAATAATTAAATAATGATTGATCTAAACAATTAGATAAAGATTGCCTGTTCATCAAAAATTAAAAGATTGTCTTTCCATCAATAAGTAAATAATGATTGTTCATCAAAAATTAAATAAAGCTGACCTACTTATCAATTAATAATTAGACTGACTGTTCAATAATTAATGTGATTACACATAAATCATTAAAAAACGATTGTCTTCTCATGAATAATAATGACTGACTGCTTATCAATGATTAATTATATGAATGTTTGGTCATCAATAAGGAAATAACGACTGTCTGATTATCAATGAGTGTGCAAAATATTTCATTTGCTGTCTTTGTATGTAATTCAGAATTGGTTTTGTGCCGACTGTTTCTCCGGTCACTAGATTCCTGATTTTATATCTTCTGGTAACTAACTAGATAAGTGCAAATTATTTGGAAGCTGAGGGGATATGTTATCCTTTCTGCAATAATTTCTTCCTTCATTCTCATTCCACACATAATGGTCCATGGCATTTTGTTCCTACAAGTCTACCTCAATAACTGTTTCATTCATGTCCTGATTGCAAACATCTTTATATCGTAGTAGAGCTTCAGACATTTGCATACACACACACATATAGGTTAGTTGCGTATCCTTTACAGGACGTTGCAGAAGCAACCCTAACAGCCCCTGGCTGTTGTGTGGTTTTTCTAGGCAAATTTTACATCCAGTAGTTTGCCATTGCTTTCTGGACAGTCGGCTTTCTTGATACCACTGTCGAAACCAACTCAAGGCGCATTGCCCACAGCTGGGATCGAACCCAGCATCCCGGCTTTATGAAGCGTTTGCATCGACTTAGCCACAGAGCTGACACATACATATATATCCACATAATAAAATTAAAAAACTCTAACCTTTATTTATAGAAGTACTTCTTGATACAGCAGTTGCCGAGGTCCGTCACCACAATCCGGTAGTCGCTAATCACCGCCAGCCCACTCGGCCGCTTCAGCCGGTCAGTGCTGCTATCGATAGAGTACAGCAGTTTCCCACTGGGGTGGAAAACATGCACAAAGCTACGACCACCCGCTTTAACTTTCTGAGAAGCCGCTCCACCGCTACTACCACCAGCTTTATCTCCCTTGTGGGATTTTTCTGTCTTTGTGGCCAGAATATTCCCTGCATTGTCCACAGTTATTCCGCCGTATGACCCTTGGCCCGAGTCCACAACTTTCCTCAAATACTTGCCATCCTTATTGAAAATTTGAATTCTATGATCTGCTACCAAAATCTCATCATTTTTCCCTACACACAGCGCAGATATAACTTTGAATTGTCCGTCTTTGTCCCCATGACTTCCGAAAGTGAGAATTAAATTTCCCGCTTGATCAAACTTGAAAATTTTCCGAGCCCCGCTATCAGCAACGATAATCTCACCACGAGAGTTCACCGCAATGTCAATAGGTTCGACGAAAGCAGGGGTCGTGAACTGCTTGACCAATGACCCATCTGTGGGATCAAGGATGGAGACATATTTGGTACGCCAGTTAACAACAGCAAGATGGCCGCTACTGAGAACACAAAGTCCAGTCGCACTTTGAAACTCGACTCCCACAGGTCCCAGGTGCCGCAGGACCACCCCGTCTTTTCCTAGAACTTTGATTCTGCTGTTTCCTGTATCAAGGATATAATTAACATCATCTGGCCCCGACGCGATCCTGGTGGGCTGGTTGAAATGCTCGCTATCAGTACCTCGACATCCAAACCTCCACAGAGGTTCTATATGTTCACTGACATCAATCACAAAAGGACTATCTTTGATTGGCCGGTTAAATATGCTCACCGCCATTTTCAACTTCCCTGGTTTCAGCGGCAGATAAAGAATCTCGTAAGACCCGTCATCATTATCTTTAATTTTACATTCCAACAACTCCCCTTTTTCGTTACGAATCTCAACCGTCACGGGGTCTCCTCCTGACGACCTTGGATTCCCGTGGTAATCCACAGTATGGATCTTCACCGAAGCCCGTAGGTGGGCCACCGCCTTTTTCACCTCAGCGGTGGTCAGCGCCGGGAACGTTGTGCTGACCCTGATCGCTCCAAAGTTGCTGATTGCCTTGGCCACTTCACGAAGGGCATCATTGTGTTTGTACTCGTAGCGCAGGAAGGAGTTTTCCCTGGGTTCCGACAGGGTGCTGGTGGTGTCCAGTTTCTCGTTGAGATCGCTGATTTTCTTGGTAATGTTTCTGACTTCAACCTGTTTTATAAAAAGACACGATGAGTTAACAAGCCAAGTTTACATCCAGTCAAGTTTACATCAAGTCAAGGTTACATCGAGTCAAGTTTACATCGAGTCAAGTTAACATAAAGTCAATCTGAAATAAAGTAAATTTTATATATCAAGTCAACTTTACATGACATCAATTTTATATCACATCAATTTTATATCAAGTCAACTTAAGGTCAGCTACACATTAGGCCAACCTGACAACGAGTCAACTCAACATCAAATCAAGTCTGCATGAAGTCAACTTGATATCAAGCCAGCCTGACATACAGCCAACTTGATATTCAGCCATGAAGCTAAATTGAGATTAACTTTACATTTTAAACTAAATGAACACAAAATATGTCTGACTGGATGAAAGGAAATACACAGTTGGGTACTAGCAAAGACTGAGACCAATAATTTTTTTTTTTTTTTTTTTTTTTTTTTGGTGGAAATAATTAAAAAAAAAACACACACACACAACATGAATGCTTAGTTACAAAATGTAAATATAAATTAAAATTATATTCAATTTCTGGAGATGTGGCTATACAGAAGAACAGATTACATTTCATAGAAACAAAAACAATCACATACAGAGTTTCTGAAAAGATTAGGAATGAAATGAGTTTCTGATTGAGTTAGTCTTTCAATATTTTGGCCAGAAAGAACAACAGTGGAACGTAAACTCTATGGACCACTGAATGAACTAACAACTACATTGAAATTTATACAAGAGACACAATTGCAGATATAGACAACTTATTTCAGGCGAACGAAAGAAGAAGTCTTTCAATGTATAGATTCTTTCTTTATCCATTCTACTGCACTGTCCATTGGATCCCAAAGAGCTACATCTGCTTTATCTTATAAGAATAAACTCACAGGGAGCAAGTACAGCGGGGATCTACAGTCATCAGTAGAAATTATCCTCTTTCGACACACGTTTCGGCCCACGATTCCTAAACGTATTCGGAGGTGGGCCCACCTGAGTTCATGACACTCAGGGCTGCTTCCCCGCTGCACAGATTACCGGATGGTGTTATACTTTCGGCCAGAGACAAGACGACTTAGTGGTTTCGAAGGAGGTACTGTGAAATAAGAAGTCGCCACGGCAGCTTAATTAGAACAGTCAGCGTGCCTGGACGACCGAGCGACAAGCTTACTTTGGTTTACCGGACACATATTGGACTGTTATTAGCAGTTGGCAGAGAGACACTGGCAGACAATTAGCTCACCGAGGCCCGTCCCCTACGTTGTTGCGCTGCGTCCACAACCAGCTAGATGCCCTTTCGGCCA